AAACCATGCAAAAAACGCATCTTCGCACGGGTAGCCCGTGCGTTGGCCAATTATTTCCTTCATTCTTTTTGAAGAGAACTATTAGAGAGTCACATTTCTTGTGTAGTTTGCCATATCACTTGTTAGCAACTCTCGTGTCTCCCTTCATCACAGCCGTCATCTCTAAATGCATCAGAAGTTTATCATGGAATTTCCAGGGGCCTCTGTGCAGAAACATAGAACGACATATAACGAGACAACTAAGTAACCCTCGGTTTATGTGTATTTGTAGCATATAGAAGGTCGGGGCTTCATTATATACGTGCTTGATTTCGCTTCTCTTCATACTGCTGCTAAAATGCTGGAAAATGTGCTGAGCATATAGTGCATTTCATTGAGCTGCATTCCGGTTTCTGGATTTTGGAAAAAAAAAACCTGTGATTTTTGTCTCATTGACCTTTTTTAGCGACAGCCCAAGGCAAGTGATGGCAGGAGGAGGGCTGAAATGCGCTCCACGAATCAGCATCACGGATGACAATAACTGCTTGAAATTTCCAGCACTCTCCTCGGGGTCCACAGTTTCAGGCGATGAACAAGTCAGCTTTCATGTTTTCGTAAAATTCTTTATGAACTAGATGAATCTGCTACTTTAGGGTCCTTGGCATCATTATCCTTCTGAACTTATAGAAACGCTGTTTAGTAGACTGCATTTGTCTCCTTTACGGAGACCTGGCTAGCATTTGTATACGGTGGAAATTTGAGCCCTTTATTCCGGTCAGGGGGTGGAATTTCTTCAATTCATTTACTCATTTCAATTTAGCATGCTAAAAGACTCAGCCGGCTGCACTGCTTAAGTCTTCCGGAATGAAAAACATCGACAACCTTGCTGTTGCTGTTGTCGAGGTCACTCATCCCACGCTCGATTACCTGCATTCACTCGAAAATAGTGAAATACAGGGAGTATTTAATAATAGGTTTTGATCGGCTGGGTTTTCTGGGGTAAATTGTCCGCTTTTAGTTTGGAAGGATGACAGTCAGGGTTGAATTGCTTTGCTAAATGTCAAAAATGCCACAATTACGTGCACAAAAGCAGTGATTTTTGGAGTTTTTATGCGTTTTTTACAGCTATGCAGTACGGAAAACGCATATTGACGAGAGGTTGTCTGTTTGTGTGTGTGTGTGTGTGTGTCTATGTGTGCGCAGAGCCTCTGTACCGATTTTTATCTCGAGACCTGCAAAAGCTACAGGGCTGAAACTTTGGGGACTTAATCTACATGCACGTACGGGCCCCATCCCCAAAATGGGCGGTCTTACCTGCGTGGTACCCACGTAAGAGCTCGCCAAAACTTTTTTACGGGTAAGCTGCTAACTCGCGAACCAGAAAAGCTAGAAAGCTGAAATTTAGAGAAAATA